TTTGGAGTCATACCAATCGAACGGTGAAACGTGGTATTGTAGTTTTCAATAACATCAGTGATAAGCTTTTGCGTAATTCTCTTAGGGGACATTTTAGTTAGTCTCTGTTTCAACGTTCTGTTGAATCGTTCAATTTTTCCCATAGTTCCATGATCACCTGGCTCATTGTTGTAGTGCTCAATTGTCTTGGATTTGAAGAGCTCTTGGGCCTGTAAATTCATGAACTCACTACCATTATCACTTGTTAGGATATCCACTTTGTGGAGACGAACAAACGCTTTAAGCGCTTCTAACACAATTGCTGCCGTCTTGTTTTGTAAGAGCTTTGCGTATTCCCGCCTTGAGTTGATGTTGATAGCAGTCAAAATTGGCCGTTTCTCCCAAAACGCAAGATCAATTTGCCACGAGTTGGGGTTATGCGAAGCTATTTTGAAACCATTGAATCTCTTCTTTTGCTCCTGAAATCGTTGAATATCGGGCTGACTCCCATACCAATCCTTTACTATTTTGAAAGTTATCTTAGGATTCAACTCCTTTGCCTTCTGATACAGAGCTTGAGCTCCTATAAGACCGGTTTTTGGGTCATAGTAGAGTTTCTTTAATAGCGCGTCCATGATCTATATTTACATTAGAAAAATCCCCAGTGGTTAGCTGCTTAAATATCAAGTGGTTCAGTCGTGATACCATCATCAAGTACTCGACGTTTGTCATAGTAGTAGTTAGGCGCTGTTTTGGTTTGAGTATAGGTGATGATAGACTTGGTTTCTTTCGATAGTCTGAACCCCTTGTTTGTACCTTGTAGCGTGATGCGATCCCGTACGACAGTCTCAAACCCATCAGGATTAAGAACACCATTGTTTCGACCACTTCCCTGTTGAATACCCTTCGCTGAAACCTTTACTTTGTATGTCTCATCAGGTAGGTAGCAAATATAGCTCTTACTTGATAGTGAGACCATATCATCACCTGACCATTCATCTTTGAACAAAACAGGCGTACGGCGATCAAACTGAGCTACCTCAGTGTTGTAGTCACGTGGGAACCAATCGTATTTATGCTCCTTGAAGTGGGTTCGTAGCTCAGGCTTATATATCAGTCTTGAAATGGATTACCACCAGCTGGAAGCCGATATTAAGCCGAATCAGTGTCTATCTCCTGAATACTGGAAAGTCCAGAGCGATCGAAAGTAGAAATCTATGCAGTCATTGTAAAACTGAAAGCAATGCGTAGCTTAGCAAGCTGATAGATAGCAATCGACAAATGGATTGGGTTCTTATTATTGAGTCGACGCTTCTTCATCGTGATCTCACACGCATCATTTAAGCTCCTCGAGACCATGGAACGTAAAGTGTTCACTCTTGTTCTTAATAGCTTTGTCGCTCGACTCATACTTAACCTCTTTGTGCTTGCTCATATCCATGCCAGATCGACCAAAAGCACTGTTGTCTACCAGTTTCATCATCTCGGCAATCATAGCCTTAGACTTATCAACATCACCCTCTCGCCGGGCGTTTAATACAGCCTCCATAAATGGAGCAAAAGCTTTATGGGAGCTCGCTTTTATGAAGCTGTAAGTCTTGGTGATCTCCAAACCATGAGAGAGATACCACTTCAGCAAAGGTGCGTATATGAGAATCTTTTCACCAAAGTAGCTACTAATCAACTTGCGAGCTGGTGTTGCTCGGCATTGCTTGCGCGCCTCATTGTGTTCGAACATGTGCTTACCAATGACGCTCTCATTCGTACAGTCGATCAGTACATTCTAGAAAATTGGAGTCATCTCACCAAAGTACTGTTTAAGGTGTTCTGGTGTTCGAATATCACATTCAAGAAAGCCGAATACTTTGTCTGCTTTGATGTCATCGATGATACCATCATACGCTTCAACCGTAGTCAATCGACCACATGGCATCTCATTACCAAGTGCCCATAGGTATAGAGCGTTAGCTTCGTATCCGATAATTTTCTTGCAGATCTTACCTCCACGAATCTTCGTCTCGTTTCGCTTAGCATACCTGTTGAATATAATTGATGGTCCACCAGCGATGTTAGCTTTCATTTTCCCGTAAATCTCAGATTCCCCCTTGTCAATCGAAAACACCAATCTGCCTGCGTTAAAATCAAGCCGTTTCTTGTATCTGAACCCCCTGAGAGACATATCTTTTCGAGCGGTGTTGCATGAAATGCAGCTGATCAAGATATTACCATCAGTGTGCCCAAGATTGTTATTGTTTCTATCAGCGGAAGCGGTATCAGCAGTCAGTTGACAATAGCATAGACCACACAGATGCTTTTGCTTTTGCAGCAATGTATTCACGTGCTCAAGCGTCATACCAAATTTTCGTATAGCCTTAGCATCCTGACTCTG